GCCCCTGCGTGTTCTATATTTGACGTTTCTACCTTTATGCACATATATTTTTATATGTTAGGAACCGCTCCTCCTCGCCCTTCCCGCGCCACGTTTGTACTTGGATTTCAACCGCCCCCACGAGGCTTCTTCCAAAACCTGAAAACTCATTTCGCCAGACAGGGACGTGTGGCAAGGCGGTGGCAGCGCCCCGCTCTCTGCTCTCTTTCTCTCTCTCCACCCCCACCCCGCCACAGACACCCTACTTCTCCAAACGCCGAGGCCTCCCTCCAACCCACCCGCCCCCCAAGACCTGCCCTAGTGCTACTGGCTCCCGTGCTGCTGTGGGCCTGGCGAGACGGTGGCTTCTTTTGACTGCGTGCGTTTTGCCCTTGCTACCAGAGTATTCCTCTACCAAGAGGCCATTTCGTGTCCCCAAATCCTTATCCACACACCTATGAGAGTCCTACTCCCACTCAAGAGGTCAGCTTGTCCAGGGGCACTGGGTGGGCGAGCGAGGGCGCTGTCAGCCCCCGCTGTCCCTGTCCACCTGGCAGTAGCGCCTTACTGGAAGGCCTGTTCCCCGGTGAGCCCTCGGCAACTCGGGAGCGGGAGAGGGATAGAGGGCAGGTGGCTTTGGGATGGTTGGAACTTCTTGTTTTTCCAAACAGCGGTCTAGGGAGGGGTGCCCCCAAGCAGAAAGCTTCCAAGGTTCCTTATCCTGTTGCAGGTGGGGAAAAAAATATTATTTTTTTCTAATAGACTGTTCTCGCAATTTCCTTCCCATCTTCCCGTGTCCCTTCCTGGTCCTCCGACGGGAAGGGCTTCCACACGCAGCGTTTTGACTTGAAGCCCTTTATCCTTCTCCTCCAAGATCTGAGGAAGCGCCTCATGGCCTTACTGGGCATTGCTGCTGGCACGCCCTCGACAGGTGCCCACCGCCCACGGATGTTCTGCCCAAGGCTGGCCGTGGCCGGGAGCCTTGCATACCTGCCCCACGACCGGCAAGGGAGGCCAGCCCCGTGGATCCTTGCACCGGGGCCCTGGGGTTTTGTATTGGGAGGAGAAGGCGTGTAAGAGTCTCAGGGGCGCGCCCCCCCGGGGCACCCCAGTAGGGCCTTGCGCGGGCTTGGTGGCGAAAAAGGCGGCAAGTGGAGCGTTCAGGGCGTCGCGGCGCATGGGCGCCACAACCAGAGTCGAAATGAAGACGCGGACTCCCCATTCCCATCCTTCCGCGGGCCCACGAGCCCCCGTAGCGGAGGAGGGAGAAACGCGAGGTGGGGATGACGCCCGGTGCAGGCTTGAGTCCTCTGAGGGCCAAGGGGGCCTTAGTGGCGTCCTTTGGACCTTGCAGTACGTAGGTGCGGCTCTCTCCCGCTAGGATGGGGTTCCCTACTCACAGGGACTCCCCACTTCGCTTGCCTCTTCATTGAGGTTCGGCCTTGGGGTGCTCGCAAATAGTGGAAATACCCAAAAAGTCTAACCCGGCAGCTGAGTCAGGCTCAGTTTCCCGGGCAGGTACACATTTGGGTTTTGGGGGGACTGTGGCTCAGGGCTCTTAGAGCCTCCGTGTCCCCTTCTTCCTGTGCGTACCTGGACACCCGAGCCAGGACCACTGCGCGCTAGAGCTGTGTTGGCGCTGCTTTGGCTGCAGGGCGCGGGGAGGTGCGAAGTCTGGGGGTTCACCGACCCAGTATCCCAGGGCAGTTTAAGGGAAATGGCGTGCGCGTTCTCGCTGCCTCCAGCCCCAAGCCTTGCCAGGAACCTTCCAGCCATCCCCAGGCCGCCTCCTTCTTTATTTTTTCTGGGGGAGGGGGATGGTGGTGGGAGAGGGCGGTCAGGGGAGCAAAATAACGAGGGGATATTTGTGTTTGTTCCAAGGCTTTGGCTGGCTGGGGGCTGGGGGGCGGGTGGGGGGCGGCGTTTGGCCTCCAGCAAGCACTGAGGCCGAGTTGGGGAGAAAAGTGACTTAAGTGGCAGAAAATGTACTTTTCTTCCCCTCTTTTCCTGTCTTGGTCCCGCAGCCTTTTTAGAAAACCCCCTTTTAAAAAAAGGCCCTCTATATCTCCCCTCCGAGTGAGTCCTTTCTTACCCATCCACACCAGCTGCCCGTTCAGGTTCTGACTTCTTTGAACTGGGGTGGGGAGGACTGTTCCAAGCCTCCCCCGCCTCCACCACGCGACCCCTTTTGCTCCCAAAGCCAGGGGCGTGGGGGGAGAAGCTGTAAACGTGGGCGCCCACCTAACTGTTGAAGGAGAATGCTGGCGAGGGATGGGAGTTACCCAAAAGCTATCCCCCTTACCCCTGGAAGCCGACCCGGGCGTGGGATGGGGTAGGGGTATTCCGAGAAAGCGCCCGGATCTGCCGGGCACCTGAGAGGCGAGCGCACATCCTAAAACTTCACTTCTCCCGGACCCCATTACTTCCACGCGCTTTGATGGTGTGTGAAATTCTTTTTCCCTTTTCCACTTTGTGAGCGTGACTCAACCCGCCCCGCCTGCACCCGAGGAGGTGACCCCGAAGCCCCGCGCGCTCAGCCCTGCAGCGCACCCCTGCACCCCACGATGCAGCAGAGGTCCGCTTCCACTCCTCAGTTCCCGAAGCTTCTTGCGCACTCCTCCGCTTATTGTTTAGAACTGTTCTTTCTTTTTAAAAAGAAATATATATATATAAAAATATATTTTAAGGAGTTTTAGTACTTAAAAAAAAAAAGCCTGTGAGACCAAGGCTGAATGATAGAAACAGGCTGTTAAAAAAGGAAACTGCGCGCCTGCCCGTGACGCGCTGGGGTTGTCGCCGGCCACCGCAGCTCCGCGACCGCGACAGCAGCCAGCCTCGGCGCGGTCGCCCGCGGCCTGAGCTTGGGGTGGGGGGCCCCCGGGGTGTCTCAGCCGCTGAGCCTGCGCTGGAAGCAGTGCCAAGGCCGTGACGACGGGTTTTTTTTTTTCCCCCCAGAAAATCGTGTCTCATTCAGGAGCGCGCTTCTGCGCGCTGCGGCTGTCGCTGGAGCTCGGGTTTGCCGTGGCAAAGTCTGTAATCAGAGAAAAATACCAGCTTTGTTGAGGGTTAGAATATATCATTGGCTAATGTGTGTGGTTTTTTTTTTTTTTAAATAATGCGAAGCATTGGAATAATTAAAGAGTGAGAAATAAGTCCTCTCCATTCAACATTGTCTTACGGAGGGGCGGAAAGCGCGCTTTTCGGCAGAGCTGGTTCGGTTTAACGCCGGCTTCTTTTCTTTTCTTTTTTTTTTTTTTTCCCTCCCCTTTTCCTTTCTTCTTCTCTTCCCCGTGTCACCCGCCTTTCCCTCCGCTCCGGTCTGATTCGCAAATCCCCAAACTGGCAGAAGCCAGGAAACTTGGAACCGGCTGGTCAGGCAGCCGGGTTGTTCTTCCCACCCCCAGCCTCCCTGCTCTGGGCCCCAACTCACAGGTCTCTACCGCAACGGGATGACAAAGGAAGACAACGGCCACGCTCTGGGACACGCCCGACCCCATGCCAGCCCTAGACCCAGCCTTGCCGCTTAGCGAAAAGGTCAGCCTCGCCCCAGACTGGCCGCAGCGCCTTTCCCAGGATTACGCTCTCCGCTCAGGCGCACAGTTGGTCCTTTCCCATCTCCCCGCAACTCCAGCTCCTGGTAGCCCTGATGGCGGTGGTATCCAAGAGAGCTGCCCACTTTGGGCTAGGCCCATGCCATTGCCCAGTTAGGCCTGGATTTGGGAGAGAGGCTTGAAGAAGGGACGAAAGGAGGGTCCAGGACCAGTGACGGGCCCCAACCTGCCGGGAGCCCTTTAAGGCAAGGAGAACCTGGAGCAGCAGGGGGCACAGGGGGTTCTTTCTGGAGGGGGACCGTGGAAGTTTGCTTTGGCCAGGCTGTCTCCCTGGGTCTTCCTTCCAGGCAAAGACGCAGCTCCCCAAGAGAAGAACAGGGCCGACCGACGTGGGCAGGAAATAGGGCCTGGTACCCACAGGTGTCTGGTGGCGTGGCAGCCGGGGGTCGGCTGCTGTGCGTGCTGGTGGAGGGAGTTCGTTATTTGCTACAGGTGTTTTTAATTAAATGTCTCTTATTTTCCTTGTTATTCTGTGCTTAGACTGTGCGGGCAACCCTTGCATTCGTCTTTTTTTACATAAGCAGAGACTCCCCCCTCCTCCAGCACACCCCCACCGCCTCCTTGGAGAGAGAGAGATTGTGGGAGGTGTTTTGCTTTTGGTGCTCTCTCTCTCTTTCCTGCTTTTTTTTTTCTCCCCAATTTAATTTTAAAATTATAAAGTAAATTTAGTGCTAGTGAAAGTGAGGGGCGTGGAGAGGGGGTGAGCCAGCTGGGGCTGGAGCCAGGGAAGAGGGGTGGGGTGCTCCTCCTTTCGCTGCTGCAGCCTGAGAAAGGGGATACCAGGACCCCAGGCCTAGCTGGGCGCAGCCGCCCACTCTGTCTCTTTGCTGCCTCCGCTTCTGCTCGGCTTCCCCCTCTCCCCCCGGGGGCTGGCACAGTGGGCAGGGTGGCTGCAGAGCCCCGGCTTGCTGAGGCTGTTTGGTATGCCCCCCTTGGCCCGCAGCACCTGCCTTGCTGGTTGCCAACGCCCACTGTGTGCAGCTGACCACCTTGTGGTTGACGGGGTCAGAACTGAACAGACATTTAGGGCCTGTAGCACTTACACGCGTGCACACACACGCGCACACGTGCAAGGTGCCACAGCTGGGAGGATGAGGGGCTACGGGGGATGCCAGAGTGGGTCCCTGTGCTCCACGGCCTGTGTGCACTCACAGGTGTCAGCAGGAGCTGGGCCGGAGACACCAGAGCCCCGTGAGCTCTCGTCGCAGCCTCTGAGGCCTGTTGGGCAGCGGTTAATCTGGGTGGAGTTCCCTGGGTGTGTTCATTTTATGAAAGTGTTTCCAGTGACAGCGCGCCAAGCGGGCCTGCTTGCAGCTCATGCAAGGGCCCCAGCTCCAGTTAAAATAATAATAATAATAATAATAATAATAATAATAATAATAATAATAATAATAATAAATGAGGTAAAGAAAAGGCTATGCATTACCAGATGATTAATAATGCTAATTGAGATACAAGTGCCTTCTAGTCAACTGCTTTTGGTGGTTCCTGCTAGGGTTGGTGGGAGAGCTTGTAAAAAAAAAAAATATATATATATATATATATTTATATTGTGGGCTGATTTTACACACTTGATCTTAGCCAAAAGGCCGAGAAGCAATGCGGACTGATTTTGAAGGAAAACAAAACCAACCCAAACGTGGAAGAGCTGTGTTGCCGGAGACCCGGCAGCCCGTCCCCACGGTAGCAACACCAACACCCCACACAGAGGTGTAGCCAGAGGGGGCGCCCATCTTAGGAGGGGGAGGAAGACATTCCTGGTCACTTTAGGCGTTGCTGCCAACATCTGGAAAGCCACATCACATCTGGAAAGCCACCTCGCAGCTGTTGTCCCCCGCCCCCAGCTGCCACCTCTTCCCCCCACCACCCTCTTCTTTTTTCTCCTCTGACACACTTAAATTTCTTGTACTCCTGCCATCCCTACCTTCAGTTCTCTACCTTGTTAAAAAAATTTTTTTTTTCTTTTTGCAGTCCTATTCAAATTGAGCTGTTGAGGAGTCAGGGATGGTATGTGTGTGTGCGTGTGAGAATTATGCATTTGTACCAGGATTTTTCTGAACAGGCCCAAGGATCGTCGGTCAAGGCCCTCCTCTCTCTTTCCCTTCTCTGTCTGCCCCCCTCACACACACCCACCTCACCGCCATCCCTGCACCCACACGGCCCCCGCTGGCCCGCCTACTAAGCCAGGGGAGGCGGCCGTCCCTCGGCAGTCCCGTGCCCGGCTCCCTCCTCCGCTGCTCCAGCTCCCGTTGCTCCCGGGGCAGGTACCGACACAGCTCCGCTCTCCTCCTCCTCGGGGCCCTTCTGCCCACGGCGGCTGTTTTTGTTTTCTGTTCGCCCCCCAAAAATATTTGAACCAAAAAGCCTCTCTTTTTTTTCCTCCACCCACAGCACAGTGAAAGGGCTACTGAACCGTAATTCAACAGAGCCAGGGCGCCTCTTTTCTTCCCTGGCATTAATTAACTCAAGTTCGTTACGACGTTGGGTCTGTCCCCCACAGTTTTCCCTTGTGTACGCTGAATCGGGTCATAGGGGGAGATTTCCCCGTGCAAACAGTTTGTGTTGGAGCCTGTAGGACGCGGGAGGGGGAGAAAGAAAAGAGACCAGCCGGAGGGGAGAGCTGGGCTCGGCCCGAGGGGTAGGGACAACCCCGGGCTGCCCAGGGCGCCCCGTGCCAGCCTCCCCTCAGCAGGGGCCAGGTACTGAAGAAATGAGGATTCTCGGGGTTTCCTTGGCAATGATCCTGATAATAAAATAGTTGCAGGGAGCAAGCCATTTGGAGAGTTTGTGGGGAAAAAAAAAAAACACACCCACCCCCCACCGAACCCTTGAACAATAAAATTATAACATAATTTATTTATTTAATTTATTATTATTTTTTTTTTTTAGAAAGAAGAAGTGGCAGAAAAAAAGCAATGCAGGCCCTGGGATCTGGCTGTTGTAGTGAATATTCCAGGAACCAGGGTGTGCAGGCCCGGCTGGGGCAGAGAGGCACTCTGTGTGTGTGTGAGAGAGAGAGAGACCCCCAGCTCTCTCCCGAGGAGCCCAATCCAGCCCCTACTCCCTGCCTGAAAGCCTTAAATAGGGCATTTACCTCTGGGGCCTCTGCAGTGGGCGTGGAGACACCCTGATATGGGGCCTCTGGGTGCCCAGGGCTTCTCCAGCAACTCTTATGTGGGGGAAGTTATGACACTCACCTGTGGGATTCCTTCCCTCCCCTAGACCTTAGCTGACCAGAGTGGGTGAGGCACCGCGCTGTTCCCCCTGGCACTGCACACGCCGCGCGCGTGTGTGTGTGTGTGTGTGTGTGTGTGTGTGTGTGTGTGTGTCCTGTAGCAAGTCGTATCCGCACTCTGGCCTTCTCAACTTCAAGTTAAATAATGCTTTAAAAACTAGAGGTTTTTGGTTTCCCATAGAGGATGAGCCGAGAGCAAACAGTTTCCAGGCGCTCCGGAGAGAGAATAGCTCGCCTTCCCCGGTACCCCGGTGCCTGCCCTGTTTCATTCCGTGCCAAGAGGGTGAGGGGAGATGTGCCTGGAGCAGAGGCGCGTTTGGAGCCAGAACGAGGCTGCCTGTTGGCCCGGTCCCAGGCCACCACTCCCGGGATTTTGTCGTCAGGAAGAGAAAAGGCTGAGGAAAGCCAAGGGAGGGTGGGGAGGTGGTATGCGGCCTGCTTCTAAAGACAGACCTTGTCCTGGACTCAGCACCGCTGGGGCAGGATGCGGAGGAGGAGCAGCGAGGACAGGCAGCGAGGACAGCCGACCCATCAGGCAGTAGCTGGGAGGACGCCACCGTGCACGCGGCCGCCTCTCCCTGAGCAGAGCGAACAGGCCCAAGGCAGCCAAAAACCCGCTTTGTCCAAACTCTCCCGGCCTGCCTGCAGAGTGCATTTTCCGGTTCCCATTCCTGGCACCCTCGGACAGAGGGGAGGCCTCACCCAACCCCGAGGATCAGCCGCCCGGCTCACTCCCTGCCGCCCGGTGCTGCTGGCGGCCGCGGCTGCAGAGTCCCCGGCCTGCCCGTGCCTGCAAGTGGGACCCGGTGGGCTCAGATCGGAGCATGCTCTCTCTCTCTGAGGCCTGACGCTGCAGACTTATTTAATTTTATTATTATTATTATTTTTAAATCTTAGACCAAAGCTGAATTATAAAGTGCCAGGAATAAGAGGGAACCAAGGATGGGGGGAAGCTTGGTGGCCATTTTTGCATTCTGTGGTTGTTTTTTTTTTTTTTTTTTTTTAGTTCCCCCAATGCAGTAGGGGCCTGAAATGACACTGTGTGGGCCTTAAAACCTGCAGAAGTTAATAGAGAGGGTTTTTTTTTTTTTTTCTCTCTCTCTATTAAGATAAAGAGAACTCCGGACAGCGTCCTAGTCTTGAAACAGCGACTCCTTGTACTTCTTAGAGGTTTGGCCGTTTGCAGGTACGCCGGCCAGTGGCGAAACCTGTTTCGGGTTGGGACGTGGATTCTACTAGTTCCTTGTAGAATTTGTTTCACGCTGTGCACGTGAGCAAGGAAGACCTTCCCCGTGCATGTTTTCTTGTTTGTCCTCCCAAGGACTCCACAAAGGAAACGCCGTGAGGGGGGTGGGGGGCGTGTTTCGTGCGGACTTTTGGAAAACCACGCGTTGCGTGTTCTCTCACTGTAATAGTGTGTGGTTATCTCAGTGTGTGTGTGTGTGTGTGTGCACACGTGCGTGCCCCTGTCCCAGAGTCCTTGCCAGGCGTCTTTGCTCTCCCCTTTGCACCCCTCTCCTGGCTCTCTCCTCCTCACCCCTGCATCCAGGTCTTCCTCCTTTGCAATTTGCCTTCCCTCCAGTTTGATGCACTTTTGAGATGTGGCTTTTTGCTCACTCTGTTTCTCTCGGGGACCTGCCTCCTGTCAGGGGCTGGGGGCGTGGGGCGGTGGGGGACGCGTTCTCCTAAAGCAGCCTGAAACCTTCACAAGTATTTATTATTTTAGAAATGTTTCAGTAAAAACTTTTTTTTTTGAAACCAAATTTTACATTCTCAACAATAAAAGAAAGAGCTCTTTCTTTCACAAAGACTGGGGGGGGAAAATTCCTTTCTGGAAATCAAAAGGCCGACTGAATTTTTAGGACTCTGGGTTGGGGGGAGCACACCTTCCGGGGCCCCCCTCTCTCCCTTCCCTCTGTCTTCTTTCGTTCAGCTCAGTCTGCCCCAGCCCAGACACTGGCCAACCACTCCAGCACAAGCCAGCAGAAGCCCCCCTGGGGGTGGGGTTGGGTTTCCATGCACCCCCCCCACACACAGCAGGGTGCAGAGCCCGGAGGTGGGGGGGCAGCCTGGGACAGGTAATCTTCCAACTAATTTTAACAAAAGGGGGACAGTGCCTTTTGTCTGGGGCTCCAGGAGGGGCGTGTCTGGCCTGCTGGCTGCCACCAGTGGCATTCAGGCTGAGGGGGCCAGGAGAGCTGGCTGTGGGGTGGAGGGGGGGTTTCCAGTGGAACCTGGGCATTTTCTCTGTGTGAGCCCTCGAGACGTCTGCATCCCCCACCCCCATTTCTTAAGGATTTAGAATACTCTGGGCGGACCTGGCCCTTCCAGAATGGCCTTCGGCTGGGAGACAGCCCCCCTGCCCCAGGTAGCGGGCCGAAGGGAGAGGCCTCCTGAGGCCCCTTCACCCACCTTCAAGGCTATGGCCACAGGCCCGAGAAGGACAATCAACTGAGTGTTTGCTCTTGAGGGGAGCCCCTGAGGCCCCAAAGGAGAGACACACCCTGCATCCACCATCCCTTGGCTCCAAGAGCTCTGATCGCCCCGCTGCCTCCCACCACTGGGTGCCAACCTTCAGTTTTAGGTCCCTGATATCCCTATGGATCCGCCCCCCCTCTACCTTCCAGCTCCACCATCCCAAGGGACTGACCCCATGGCCCTGTAGTTGAGAACCCCCCCCAACCGTCCCACCCCAACCCCAACAACAGCACTGCAGTTCTTGGAAGAAACCAGCCAGGATTCCCCAGGAGGCTCCCCGTCGGGCGCTCCCCACTGCACGTGGGATAAATTTAGATTTAGGATAAACGTGAACACCAGAGCAACAACCCCAATGCCAAGTGCAAAGTCACTTGTGGTTGGTGCAGCCTCTCCTTGACTTTACAAAGTCTGGTCGCCTCCTCGAGGGGCAGAGGGCGGGGGGCAGAGAGCAAAGGTTTGGTGGTTCAAGTCGCCAGGCCAACTGCCATCCTTGGATCCTTGGCCGACAACACCCAAGCCGATTGTGTGAATTATTGAACACCACCCGGAGGCCTGTCCCTGGCTCGTGCTCTCTCTCTGTCTCTCCCTCTCTCTCTTTCTCTCTCTCTCTCTCTCTCAGCCCTGAGCTAACTCCTTTCATTGAAGACAACTGTTCAGGGATGTTGGGCACAGACAGCAAGGATGTGTGTGTGTGTGTGTGTGTGTGTGTGTGTGTGTGTGTGTCTGTGATGGGGAGGGAGGGATTGCGTTCCTCTGCCGTGGGGTCTGCGCCAGTCCAGAGGTGGCACTTCCCAGGGTCCTAAAAGCCAAGGGGCAGAGAGGGGCATGGAGACCAGCTGAGGGCTGCGCCTGGGGAGGCTTCAGGAAGGCTTCCAGGCGGGACCAGGTGTGTTTTGGTTGAGTTTGTTCTTCCCATTTCTAAATTGCCTACTGCTCTTCTAAGGCCTAGGTGGAGACTGGCCGCTCAGAGGGCGTTCCTGGGCGGACAGACCTTCCCAGGGGTCCCCCGTGGAGTGGCGCTGCAGGGACCGCACTTCCCACTCCCCACCTTCTCCCCAAGACTCTGGGTTTTTTTTTTTTTTTTGTAGTCCCTACTGCTGGATACTCCCCCCACCCCAACTTCGCTGGTACCTGCTTTGACCCACCTGTACTTTGCCCAGTGTGTGGGCGCGCATTTGGGCCTTCCAGGCCAAATTAATCTGGGGGTGAGCTTAGGAAACTCAAGTCGGCTCTTGAGTGGATTGGGGCATATGCCGGGAAAGTGAAGCGGGTGGTGGGGGATGCGTGGGTGACACCCGTTGGCCCTGCCTGGGAGCAGTGTCCGTCCCCCTTGTCTTATGGCTTCTCCCCAGAGCTGGCTGATTGTGGTTGTGCCTCGTAGCGCTTGTCAGTGGAGTGCTGTGACAGGAGGCTATTTTAATAAACTGTTGCCGTTTTCCGAGCTGCCTTGGGCTGGCATGCCTCCTCACCGCTAATGGAGCGTGCGTGGCTGGGTGTGGGCCGAGGGAGGCGGCCAGCCTTTGGGCTCAGGCTGGCTGGGGAGCTGGGGAGAGCGGATCTAGGGTTCCAACGGTCCCCCTCCACCCTCCCCACAACCCCATCCCCACCGCCCTGAGCCAGCTAGTGGCCAGATCTGCGCGATGGAGCAGCAACGCTTGGGGCCCTGCCCTGGAAGTGTGGCTGGCACCAACACTTTCCAAGCTTGCTTTCTTCTTTCTATTCATAGCCCCTTGCAGGTGTGTGTGTGTGTGTGTGTGTGTGTGTGTGTGTGCATGGGGGGGACGGGGAGGAAGACTCGCACTCGCCTCCACGCGGGAGGAGCACCCGAACAAGGGAGAGTGTGCGGGCTGGAGAGAAAGACGCGCGGGCACCCGACGCGGAGGGAAGGCGCAGCTGCCTTCCCCAAGGCCTCTGGGCTCCCGCCCCACCAGCCCGCCCCAGTCAGGCCTTTATTGATTTATTTTTTCTGGCTTGCAAAAGAAAAAAATATATACATATATATCCATGTCTTCCTTGATCCCCGTCTCCCTCTCTCCACCCCCGCCCCTCCACCACCACCACACACACACACACACACAGCCCCCAAATTTGTTGGGTGACTGCTGCCAAATGGACCCGAGTGGGAGCCTGGAATGAAAAATTCATAACTGCTGGACTTTGCTTGTTCATTAGACGTGAACTTGTCGATTGGGCAAATTGTTTTTGGTCTCCAACTGCCGGGGGCTCTCCCCACCCTCTCGGCTCACCCGGTCCCTCCTCCCCCGGCGCAGCCATTGGCTGCTGGGAAAGCGTCTCTTTGCCAAAGAGGAGGATCTTCCTCTCCACAGGCGCGCTCTCTCTCTCCTCCTCCTCCTTCCTTCTCTCTGGCTCTCTCTCTCTCTCTCTCTTTCTCTCTCCTTACCTCCCTCCTTCTTTCTCTCTCCCTCTCTTCCCCTCCTTTCTACTGACTTGGCACGAGCAAATCGACGGGGACGCAGCGTGAAAGGAGAGAGAGAGTTTGAAAGAGAGAAGCGAGCAACAAAACCCCCAAACCCAGCCAGCGCCGAGTGCGCGCGCGCGCGCGCGCACACACACACACACACACACACACACACACACGTGCACACTCCTCCCCCCCACCATCCACGTCCTCCCTGGATCTTCCCTCCCCCCCCACCCCGTTCTGCCTTCCCTCCCTCTCTCCCTCCCTCCCTCGCTGGCTCTCTCTCTCCCTCTCTCTCTCTTTTGCACGCGTCTGCCAGCAACGGTCTGCAGCCGGTCAGAACTCGCCCTCGTCCTCTGGAACCGCGCGCTCCCCCTCTCCCCGCGATCGGGCCAAGTTCAGAGCCCGGCGGCGCGGCTGCCAAAGCCCAAAGCCTTTCTCATTCAGCTGCGCCTCTTCCCTCCCTCTTCGGGCTTTTGTTTTTGTTTTGTATTGGGGTGGGGTAGGGTCTGTTGCGGGGTGTGTGTGTGTGTGTGTGTGTGTGTGTGTGTTGGAAGGAATGGTGGTGGGGGCCAGAGACGTGGAGAGCGGCAGCCGTGGTGGCGGGAGGTTGGCTTGCATTTTTTAATTTGTGCATTTTTTTTGAAACTGGAAAAGGATGCATAGGCGTAGAAATTGAAAAAAAAAAAAGGCAATTTAGGGGGTTGTTGTCATTTGTTTAGCTGGGGTCAGTGGTGGCCAGCACACTCCCCTTTTTTTTTTGCTGCCCCTGACTTTTATTTTTTGCTCCTTTTCCAAAAAAAAGGGGGGAGAATATATATATTAATTTCCCCCTTCTGTGCAGTGGAGCATGGTGGGGTGGGGAGGGGAAGGGGGATGGGTTTGAGTATCCACTCAAGCCCAGCCCCTATTCCTCAGAACACCAATAATAACCCCCTTTAAAACATTTACCTTCCTCCCTGCTCCTCCTCCTCCCCTCCCCCACCCGCCCCCCAACTTACAACTCCGCTGAGAGCCGACTCTCAGAGCCGGGCGTTGGGCCTTGCTGGGTGCTTCAGATCAATGGTAATTATTCCATTTTTTTTCCAGTTTTATTTTTTGTAAACAGAGATCAATGATTATTTTAAAAACTTCAAAGAAGCAAACAAGCCAAAAAAAAAAAAAAGAGAGAGAGAGAGAGAGAGAGAGAAAAGAAAAGAAAAAAAAAAAAAAACAAAGCTGACAGCCCAGCCCTCCGTCACCTGACTGAGTAGGAATGAGGGTGAAGGGGTCGTGGGTGGGAGGCTGGGGAAGGGGCCGCAAGACCCCCACGCTGCTTTGAAGCCCCGCTGCGGCCGAGACCACCACCTTGTTTGTGCTAACCAGAAGTGCTTCTTGCACCCTCAACGTGGTGCTGAACAGTCCCCTCGGCGTGGAGAGTAGACCGAGAGAGCTCATATTTAGGATTTAGATCTGATCAAGAAATGCTGGGGTGGGTGTTCCAACTGGATCCGGAGAAGAGCAAAAAATGCAAACAGCCTGGGGAGGAGAAAAAGCAGATCCGTTTCCTCGCTCGCTCGTTCGCTCGTTCTCGCTCGCTCAGTCGCTCGCTGGCTCGCGGATGTCATTTTCTGTCTTCTTGGAGGTGGCCGGTGTCGGGCCTCCAGGCGGCCCCCTGCGCGCCCTGTGCGCGCGTCCGCCGGCGTCTCCAAGAGTGGACGCTGCGCCGAGGGCGAGCTGACACGAGTCCACGGCTCTGGCAAAACATGGAGATGTCATGGGCGCCACGGAGCCTGGCGGGGGATACCAGCAGCGTGTGCGTGTATGTGTGTCTGTGTGCGTGAGAGGAGAGAGAGAGAGAGGAGAGAGAGAGAGAGAGAGAGAGAATAGGTGTGTGGACAGGCTGCGGGTGGCTCTCTGTGGCTGCTGAGGCTGAGGTGGGAGCAAGTGGCTGGCGAAGCCTCAAGTGCCTTCCAACCCCACTTTTGTAAAAAAAAAAAAAAACAATCGACAGAGGAAATTGTTGGGTGGGGGCGGGAGGGAGGAGGAGGAGAAGGCGGTTTTCGGCGTGCCCCCCTCTAACGCTGCCTTTCTCTGTCCTCCCCTCCTCCCGTCCTCCCGCGCCCCGCATGCTCCCGGCTTGCCGCCTGCAGGATGAGTTCCACCCGTTCATCGAGGCGCTGCTGCCGCACGTCCGCGCCTTCTCCTACACCTGGTTCAACCTGCAGGCGCGCAAGCGCAAGTACTTCAAGAAACACGAGAAACGGATGTCCAAGGATGAGGAACGGGCGGTGAAGGACGAGCTGCTGGGCGAGAAGCCGGAGATCAAGCAGAAATGGGCATCCCGGCTGTTGGCCAAGCTGCGCAAGGACATCCGGCCCGAGTTCCGCGAGGACTTCGTGCTGACCATCACGGGCAAGAAGCCCCCCTGCTGCGTGCTCTCCAACCCCGACCAGAAGGGCAAGATCCGGCGGATTGACTGCCTGCGCCAGGCCGACAAGGTGTGGCGGCTGGACCTGGTCATGGTAATTTTGTTTAAGGGTATCCCGCTGGAAAGTACTGACGGGGAGCGGCTCTACAAGTCGCCCCAGTGCTCGAACCCCGGCCTGTGCGTGCAGCCACATCACATTGGAGTCACAATCAAAGAACTGGATCTTTACTTGGCTTACTTTGTCCACACTCCGGGTAGGTCACTCTTCACCTCCTCCCCCGCCCCCGCCCGCACCCGTCCCTCATTTTGTTTTACTTGGGGGGAGGGTGTGTTTCTTTGGGCTCCTCTTTAGCTCCTAAAGACATCACACCAGCGCCCCAACCGCCGCATCTGGTCTGGGCGCTCCCCCTTCTACCCCTCCCCAGCTCCGCCGGCCACATCGCCCCCCTCGGTGTGTCTCTGTGGTTTTGAAGGCCTGGTCCCATCAGAGATGCTGTTTTGGGGTCTCAAGAGAGACCCAGGATGTCCCCAGAATCACCCCGCTGGTAGGGAGAGTTGGATAGAACCCCGCCCCCCTCCATCCATCACAGCTCTGACTTAAGCTGGGGGGTCTTCTGTGGAAGTGCTGGGGCAGACGCTGGCCACCCTGTCGCTGGTCCTCCAGCCCCAGGAAAAAGTAGATTTGGCATAAGGCGGGTGGGCGGGAGTGGCACAGTTTCATTGGAGAGTGGGGTTATGTGAACCCGGAGAAGGAGACCTAGACCGAATGAATGGAAGGGAGGATGTGTGTGTGTGTGTGTGTGGGGGGGTGTTCCGTAGGCACCTTCTTGGGGCTCCCTGGGGGAGCCATTCTGACTTGAGGGGGCTTGCCTGCGATCTGAGAGTGCGCAGAGAGCACGGAGAGGCAGAATAAAAATTCGATTTCATAGCGGAGAGAGTGGAAGCCAGCACAGGGGTCTCTGAACTCCTGCTGGCACCTCGATCCTCCCCCCCCCCGCCCCACACACACACACACACAAGGGGGAAGAAGCAAGGTCCCGGGCCTGGCACACACAGTAAGGTTTGCCCAGGCCCGGGCATGGCCAGAGCAGCAGCAGCAGTTGCTGTGGAAGAGGCCTTAAACAAATAGACCCAACAAACCAACTGGGAGATGGCCTTGGCCTTTTGTGTTCCGAGTCCTCGGGAAGCTTTCCCCAGCCGCAGCCTGCGTTTTTGGGGTGAAGTCGTTTTCCTATTTAATCTTTTCTTTCTTGCTCTCCCCCTCCCCTAATCCTTTCCCCCCTTTTCATAATTTCTTTTCCGCTTTTGTTTTCTTACAAATTGAAACAGAGATGGCTGGTTAATTTTTAGCCTCCACTCAGCTACGCCCAATTTACTGCCGCCTTTGAAACCTAACCGGGCGGGACTCTGATTAAGCAAGGCACAAGTGTGTTTACACTGCGCCTAACCAACTCGTAATGACAGGGCTACCAAACCTTTCTCTCGCCCTCGCTCTCTTTCTCTGCCTGTATGATGGTTGTTGTTGTTGTTTTTTTTTTTTCCTCCCCCTTCATTTCCCTTCTTCCTCTCTCTATGTGAATGTGAAAGCCTGCGGCTTCGTTTCCACTCTGGCAGACTTTCTGAGCGAGCCAGGAGGGAGAGAGCTGAGCACCCACTGTGGGTCTCCCTTCATGTTCATTCACAGGAAAAAAAAAAGGAAGGAAGAAAAGAAGGAAGGAAGGAAGGAAGAAAGGAAGGAAGGAAGGAAGCAAGAAAAGAAAAAAGGAAAAAGAAGCTTCAGGCAAATGTTGAGGTCTCCCCCACCCCACCACGCTAGCGCTTAGCCCCTTGCTGGATCGGGGAAAAGTTGGGAGGGATGACATGCCTGAATCCAGACAGAAACTTCAGGAAGGGCAATCCCAGTGGGGCCCGGGAGCTGGGGACAGGAGCAGTGTGGGAGGCCTCCCTTCTGGCTCTTCATTCTCTCATTCCTTGTCACCCTGAGCTAGTTGCGCTGTCCGGTCAGAAGTCCTTGGGCAGCCACCAACCCCCCAAGCCTTGCGCTGGCTTTACTGCCCCCGTGGGTCTTTCTAGGCCCTTACCCCCAGCCCCAGTGTAGGCGAGGGTGACCATTGCAACTCCTCTTTCCAAAGGGCCAAACGTCAGCCACCTCCCTTCTCTTGGGCTTGATATTTTTTTTTTCTTTTGTCCCTTTCCTGTTTTAGAAGAACCCAATTAAAATGTGTGTATATATATTTATTTATTATACAATATACACACCCCTCATTCTGTACCTAGCCGTCCGGAGTTGGGGTACACAGGCTGAGCTAGAGGGGACAGATGACCTGGGAAAATCCCGAGACCCTTCTAGCTCCTGCTTGGGGTGCTGCACCTGCTCCTTGGAGAGCGGGCAACCCAAGAACACCTAAGGCAAAAGTGAACACTCCTCTTCATCTCTCTCTCTCTCTCTCTTGATCTTTGTAGCTGAGCTGTTTCCCTGGCCTCTTTTATTCGAGGTCAGATTCTTGACCGCTGCCAGCACAGGGCTAAGGTTAGGGTAAGGTGTGGTGACCAACAAGACTGTTTCCTGGGCAGCTTCCGGGCTGGCCAGCGTGCCCAGGCCCGTGTCAGGGGAAGCAGGCCCCTTTCCTCCTCGCCTCCCCTGCCCCGCTCCCAGCTGATGAGGTCACTCTCCCGGGAATATGAGTAATTTCGTAGCCTATCACGTGGAACTGAGGCCGAGTGTCCGCGACACCGGCCATGTGGTGTTCTCCGTGGTCCAGGCCGTAGGCTCTGAGCATGCTTTGCTGGACAGACCAAGAAGGTGCAAGTGTCATGTTGGAGTTGCTTCTTGCGTCTCAGAGCTGGGCCAGGATGGTGGTGGTCGGGAACCTGTTTAGAGACATGCAGGGTGGAGGTGCAACCCCCTCCTTGGGTCATCGCATCTCCCGTGGCGCGGCCTTCCCCCGGAGCAGCCGCTGGGTGGAGGAGCTGGGAGCCAGGCTCAGTGAGGGGCTGCTTGGGCTTGCTGAGGGGTTTGTCCCTTGCCTTAGAACCGGACTGAGCTGGTAAGTGCCAGATTTGATGACAGTCAGTTTGGTCTAAGGGTAAGTGTGGGTGGCATGGCTGTGCTTCCAGGAGCCAGTGCAACCTGTGACCCCTGCAAACTCCTGTTGCATCCCAGACAATGTAATAGCTGTGAGGGAAGCAAAGGAGGTGCCGTTCTCCCGGAATATGGGGCTCCAAATACTGCCATCCTGCTGGCCGGAAGTCGGCCTGGATTGGGGGGGGCAGGGAATCAGGGAAGGGCAGTGCCGAGCGGGGTGGAGGGCTCTGTGTCTTGACCGTGTCCCCAGGGCAGGTGGCCAGGGCCGGGGTGGATGGAGGAGGTCCCTGTCTGTGTGAGAGAGGCAGGCCCCGCTGGCGCCCCCGCATGCTCCTCCCCACCCCCGTGCACTGCCCATCTATCTCCCCGGCATCCACAGTTCCTCTGAGACAACCCAGTGCCTCCTCCGACACTGGCTTTCTCGAAGCGTGGCTGTTGGCTTCTCCTGTTCCTGTCCCCCCCCACACACACACAGGGTCCTGCAGTGGGGACCCACAAGGGCCAGGGGCTTGGGTGGCATCGATTGCTTTACACAAGCTCAGCCCAAGATGGAGTTTAACGCAGAGAGGGAAGCCCGGTGGTACACTTACGCCAGCACCAGCCAGCCCTGACTCAGGGCCCTCGTGGCACTTCCGTTCCTTCTCCACTGTCCACCCAGCCTGTTGGCTTTCCCTCCTCTAAATATAAGGGCTCCGGGAAAACGGACCCAGCACAGTGCCGTCGTTCTGCTGCAAAAGTGGCTGGTGTGTTCCATCCGGGGGCCCAGACAGGCCATCTGCGTGTCTCCTGGGCTCGGCCATCTCTGCCTGGCAGTGCAATTTGTTTCTGTCCTCTTGGGTCGTGGCAGTGGCTTTTCTTTTCTTTCTTTCTTTTTTTTTTTTTTTTTTTGCAGCTGTAGAAGGAATGGGCCGTTGGCCTTTGCACGAGGACTCCGCCTCTCTGCCTTCAGGTCCTGGCTTTGCAGCCACGGCCCTCCCTGCCGTAGGTTTGGCACCTGCAGCGCTGTGCTTGGGCCTTTTCAAGCAGGAGGCCTTCTTGGAGCGGAAGCGCCGCCTGATTTTAAGTTTAGTCTCCCTCCCAGAGTCTGGGAGGTTGTGTGAACGCCGCCGGCTGTGGGGTGCCAAGGAGGGCTCCTCACCCAGGAGCTCCCAGGAACAGGCCAGGGTGGTAGTGTTGCCTGCACACTCCTGGATGCCCAGCCTTTTGGTGGCTCTGCTGAGAGCTGGGGAGGGACCCCAGGAATGCCAGCTGGCTTCTCGGGACCCACCATGCTATATGCCCCCCTTTGCCATTTCACCTTGTCATCTCATTTTCAAGGTCCTGAAATGCCACCACTGGTCCCTGTCTCTTCGGGACAGCGCCATCTGGTGCCAGGGCTGACAAAAGCCACAGGGCCTAGGAGCCGTGCTGGGACACTTGTCACCCACCTTAGGCCCCTTCAGCACACGATAGAAGTGATGGCGTTGTGCTCTAAAGTCAGCTCTGCTTGTAAGATCTCTTGCACTTATCCGGCTCGGAGTGGCTGCCCGAGGAGGGGCTGACATAGCGTTGGCCAGCGGGGATGGCAGCTGTTGGAATGGCATGGGTATCTCTCTGATACCTTTATCTCATGGTCTTGTTTCTAATCTTAGAGTTCAGCCCAGATGAAGGCTGATGTTTCTAGAACTTGGCAGTTCTGCCTCCCTGCGCCACGCGTCCCGCCAAGGGTGGACACACCGCCCTTAGGTCGCCATTGCCCTCAAATGGGGTGCCTGTTGCTCCTGCCCTTTAAACGATCACTCCCTAAAGGCCCCTTGGTCCCCCATAAATTGAGCAGAGAGACCCCAAGCCTGATGGTGAGCTAGTCATGTATATGGGGTTTGGAAGAAAATGACAATGGCGGGCTCCTGGCTCCAAACTGCTGGCAATCCTAGCCCAGCAGACCAAGTGTGCAGCCACGCGCCCTTGTGCCACACACAGGGCCATCTCTTACTGAGTCGGGGACTGCCTGGCTCTGGGTGGCATGGAAGGACGGCTGGGCTCATGTGCAGGCCTCAGGGGTGTGGCCCCAAAGAGGAGAACAAGAAGGTCCAGACCAAGCTCTGAGCCTGAAGTTACTCCATCTGCTTGTGTCTGGGGCGCCATCCGTGTAGCCTGCTGCACAGGGTCTCAGCTGAGCGCATCCCATGT